TTCTCTTGTTCTGGAATATGCTTTAAAAAAAAAAATAATGGGGAAGTGCGGAATTGGGTCTGCTATAACTGGGCTTTGTTGAAATGAAAATGCCCAATTGTAATGGGCTTTAGAGGTAAGCCTGTAAAAAATTCAGGCCCCCATTGATCCGTAGACGTGGCCCAAGAAAATGCCCCATTTTATACGGAACACCGGACTCATATGCCACCGGTTCTGAACCGAGGATTCGACTCCAACTGCATTCGGCCTTTTTCTCTCCTCTCTGTTGCTTACTTTCTCGACATTGCATAGAAAAGAAAAAAAAAAAAAAATTATGGATTCAGATGAGGAGGATTTCCTGTTCTTCGGAACGCCGATAGAGCGTGAGGAGGAAATCACTAACCGTCGGAAGAAGGCCGCCGCCGAGGCTTCTGGTCAGCTCCGTTCCGCTCCTCCTTGGAAGCAAGAGGTAGTATGACGGTGTCATCTCCTCTATTTGGGTTCGCTAGAGTCGAAATATGCTGTTATTTGATTTGTCTACGAATCGCGTTTCATTAGGTTCTGGATGAAGAAGGACGGAGAAGATTCCATGGAGCATTTACCGGAGGGTTTTCTGCTGGTTATTACAATACTGTTGGCTCAAAAGAAGGTATGCATTTTTGCCAGTTTCAATTTCACTGATTACTGTTCATTCCCTCGAGCTATTGTCTGAGCGTGGAGGCACAAATTTGCAGGGTGGACTCCACAGTCGTTTACATCGTCGAGGAAGAACAGAGCTGAAGTTAAACAGCAAAGCATTTTCAGCTTCTTGGACGAAGATGAGAAAGTGGTATGTTGTATTTCACTGACCTTTTAAGAGTTTTTTTTTTTTTTCTTGAATTGGTAATTTATATATTGTCAGATCATCTGATGATTGTAGCTATGGATTGTTTGCAATCTTAGAACTTAAGTCTGACTGGCATTTTTTTTTAATTGTAAGAGCTTAAGCCAGCTAGCGGAGTTTGTGATTCCTCTTGATTTTTCTATTTTAGGAGATGGAAGGCCAGTTTTTGGGAACATCTTCAAAGTTTGATACATTTGGATTTACAGCTGCTGAATATGCTCGTAAACAAGCTGAGACAGAGCAAAAGCAGAGGTTTCTTTAGTGTTTTCTGATACTTCTCTTTATCGGTTAAAATATTATAGTGGGATATGAAGCTCAAAATTCAGTTGGTGCCTAATTTTTAGCTTAGAATTTCTATTCTCATTATAGATTAAATATACATGTTTACAATGTTATTTACTTTGGCCTAGCTCCAGCTTCTGCAGTAGAAAAGCTATCATAGAAGCTTAGGCTAAACAGACACATAGACATGCATTTACATGCTCCCGTGATCTGTTTAAATTTTTTGTTTGTCACTTATTTTACTGTTTTTTTCCCCTTAGGCCATCAGCAATCCCTGGACCCGTTCCTGATGAATTAGTTGCCCCAGTCACAGAATCTATTGGTCAGTTCAGAAAAGTTTATAAAAGTTTCTGCAAGAAGTGCAGCTGCACACAATCAAATAGCTCTGATACTCACATAACTGTCATTGGTCAGGTGTAAAATTGCTGATGAAGATGGGGTGGAGGCGTGGTCGTTCGATAAAGGATTCACATGCAAGTTCAATTTATGGTATTTCTTTCTGCCATATCAAAATTATTGTTTTATCTAATTGTATCTCATTTAACTTCTTGGTCCTTGTAGGTTTGAGAAGATAAATTAGGAGTTAAAAAGTTTTACTTGTTTCTGTGATTGATTTCAGAGGAAATCTTAAAAGCTTTATGTTTCTTTTACAGATGCTCGTAGAGAAGCTAGAAAAGCTTTCCTAGCCTTTGCTGATGATGGGAAGGTATCGCAGCTTGCTGATTCTGAGCCTGTTGAGAGTGAATTGGGAAGCCTTATTGAGCAGCCTGTTAATGATGCAGTATGGTCTTCCCAAAGCACAACTGTAAGCATTTAAGAAGCTGGTTACCATAACAAGTTGAAAATCCTTATTATTATTATT